CGATAAGAATAGTCTACCTACTTAGAATATGAAAACAGGGACATAGTTCAAGTCAAATCTTACAAAATTATCGCTGGAAAAATGCCATTTTAGTACTAAGTTAATTTGAACAAATCTGAATAGGCTAATGGAACAATAAAACAAGCGCACCTTGACGTTGGCAAATACGTAAGACAATATGAACATAACATGAATCAACTGCAGGTTGTGATATGATAAATAGTCATGGACACTTGACATGCTTTGAGAGTATGTTCACAGATGAAGAACTTATCGCCCCAACAGAACCACTGAGCTGCACACGCGACACGCAATAGCGCCATACACGCGGGAGGGTTTATTGTCAAATTTAACACTTCAAGGAAGGGTTGATGAAAACTGTCTTGTGCTAGTTTATCCTATCCATGTTTGCTTTCCTATCGGTTCTTGCATAAGATTTACTGTTTAGCGTATCTTTGCTTTAGTGTGTTACGTTTAATTTGATCGGGATACGCGTTCGTCGACGTCAACGTCAACCGACGGAGTTGGTCAGATAGCCCCAAATCGTGATTGGACGGTAGATAAGGAGTATACCACGACGAATTGCCGAATCAAAAACGTCCATTTTCACTTTTGACAGTGTATCTCTTTGCGAGTGAAATGGGGCCGTCAGTGAAGCCGCCCATTACTGTTTCTGTTCATGTGTAGGCAATTGGCCTGTTATTAACATACACTGGTTACCTCTAATAAAAACAGCAGTGCATTTCCGCAGTTTTGTATTGTTTCTGAATATCCCCTACTTTTTTTGAAGATTATATTATAGTTTTATTTCTAAAGCGCTACATTATAGCAATAGTTATTTCTGAGCGCTGTACAGGCATATACATGCAATACAGATGATTAATATCTACATTCAAGTTAAACCAACTGTGTCTATATATTTTTTAAGTCTTACGTCGAGCTGAATAAACTATATGATGTATTGTCATAAAACCTCCAATGGCTGGTTAACAGTGCGTAATTATAGACTATAATTGAATCATATTAATTAATTTAAGGTGTCATAAGGTTGCACATACCTCCTAGGTAGATTCAAAGACATAATATAAACTAAGATATCATTACATTCTTTAAATACAATTCTCAGTAGGGGATAGGGTATAATTTATTGTGTAACATTGTGATTATAATCAAAACAATAAATCCCGCCCTATACTACAAACAAGCCATAGCAAGAAATACCTCCTATTGCCAACAGTTTAATGTATCTAGAATTATCTACAACCAACTATACTGCATCCATATATTTAAAGCGTGTTAACAATATATTCATTTAAGAGAAACTATGTTATTTCGAGATTAACATATCGTACATCATAGTTTAGAGACTCAATACGAACTACAGAATACATCATGGTTTAGAGACTCAATACGAACTACAGGGTACACCATAATTTAGACTCTCTATCCGAACTACATGATACATCGTGGTTTAGATAAACTCGACCCCCGGTCCGTCCCTGGTAACATCAAGGCCGATAGTTATTCATTTCGTGACAGACACTTGTGATTCCAATAGTAGTACATTTTTTCACAAGCACGGGACACTAGGGGACCAAGAGTCGCTGAATTTGGCCTCGCGAGGGATTCCCACTCTATTGGAGGTCCGATGGGGTTCTCTCCTTGCTTTTATAAAAATGACCATAAAAAAAATGTTTTCTGTAATTTGTCCTGATGTTTCTAACTGACTCAAATTTGGTGTGTGACAATCCTATTTGAAATAAGTTTTCAACCCAATATTGAATTCAGTAACCCTAAAAATCCTTATTTTGGTTTCAGTTTTGATTGTCGTTTTAAATTTACACCATCTGGACCATTCGTAATTAGTTTTTTTAGATAGAGATTGAACAATTTATAATGTTCTATCGGAAATTGTTGGATTTTCTCTAAATTGACCAGATTCTTGACAATCTGCTCATCGTGTTATCAATTTAGCCCATTGGGTTTTTACAACATTGACTACTAGACAGAGCAGAACCCAATATAATCAGAGTATAATACAGATCCTGTTATGTTTTTATGGTTTTAATTTCATTTTACGAGTATTTGTCTTCACTACAGTAGGCGCCGCAGATCCGGATTTTTTTCAATCATCAAGATGATACTTGGGTTTTGGGGTTGGCACCGGACGGGGTCCAGCGGCGCTTGGACTCGTATCCGTTATAAGCCCCACATTGTCCCTGGAGTGGGATATGAAAGAGTTTATAAATAACTCAAGTTCTTTTTTTTCTCTCAGGAAATAAGCCAATGTAATGGTCTGTTTAGTCTTGCTTTACGCGAGCTGTGGGTTGAATTATGGGAGAGACATATTGCCCAGCAAAACAAAGGTAAAATATATTGTTTAAGGCATTCAGTCAAAGTTCAACGCAGTCCGATCAGATATATGTGTGGTGAGGCCAATTTAATATATAAAAAAGAAACAAGATTTATTTAAATCTGATTGCAGCATAATGGCAATTATTCGTTAACTAAAACGCCATTTTTCTTTCAAATGTCTTTTATGCTATCTAATTACGATTGGATTCCAAATTCATTTATTTTTCGTCGCACTTTATATCTCCAATGATCTTTCACTTTTATTAATATTAATTAAAGGGAACACAGGGTGAGGGTTTGATTTACATCATCCCATCCTAAAACTCAACGGAATCACTTATCTGCGCGTGGACTTTAAAATTCCTATAATTCACAATAAAATGCAGTCCTGTATACTAAGATGTTCTGAACACTGACTTCAAAAAGGGGGATTAGGTGGCGAATGGTTTAACACGTGCGCGTCGGATCACAACGTCTGTCATTGAGTCAAGTAGCGACGTCCAAGAAGGGGAGTCGCTTGTCCATCCTCGTTGAATTTCTCAGGATCCTCTGGTTTTCTATACAACGATTTAAATCAACTGGAAATTATACCTGGTATTAAAATTCTATACAAAATATCTATTTTTAAAGGCACTAGTCGCATGAACATTTTAAAGGAGCTAAGTCTCTAACTCAATATTTTCCATAATATTCGAAATTAATAACACGAATTAGAACTCAATATTGATCAGTTGCAATCAATATTAATCCTGCCGTACATCTATAGGATCCCAATATCCAACATTTAAGACATAATTAACATTTTATAATCAGTACACGAGTCGTGTACGCTAATGTACAATTAAAACATATCTCACAACGCAATGTGGAAGTGATTAGTAAAGGTTGATTCACAAACGATGAAACAATAATTTAACCAGCGGCCAGCAGGCAGGATACGCCCACATTTTGCAAGAGATGAATAGAGAACAAGCTAAAAACAAACCGGATTTTTTGAACAATCAGTGGCAATAATCCAGAAAGTTATGGTCTGAAATGCGCAAATATCAAAAGGGACTGAGATCTTTGGGATATAAAGATATATTTTAAGTTTCATCAAAATCGGATAAAAATTGTGACCTTAAGAGTGTCCACAACCTTCCTTTTGCATACTTTTCCACAATTTGCGTACAAAGAATGGACATTTTAACGGGCAGTTTCATTTCGATTTTCCTACAACTTTGATATACCAGACGTTATACACTATTTGCGAATGAGGGTCGGCAATTTTGTCCGGCAGTTCTAGTCCGATATTCACGAAATTCAAACTCAGCCAAAATTACGGTGTAACGGTGATATGTTTGAACGTTTTTACAAATCGGATAATAATTGTGACCTCTAGAGGGACGTGAAGCTAAAAACGCAATTTTTCGTACAATCAGGGGCCATAATTCAGGAAGTTACGTCATGATATGCGCGAATATCGACAGGAACCAAGATATTTGGGTTATAAACTTACATTTCAAGTTTCATCAAAATCAGAAGAAAACTGTGACCTCTAGAATGTCCACAACATTGATATACCACATTTTTACGCTATTTGAGTACGAGGGGCGGCGATTTTGTCTGTCAGTTTTGGTCCGATTTTTACGAAATTCGAACTCAACCACCCTTAGGGTGTAACGGTGATATATTCATACGTTTTTTAAATCGGATAAAAATTATGACCTCTATAGGGTCCACAGGCTAAAAACGTGATTTTCCGTACAATCGGGGGCCATAATTCAAGAAGTTACGGTCCGATATGTGCGAATATCGACAGGAACTGAGATCGTAGGGTTATAAACTTATATTGCAAGATTCATCAAAATCAGAAGAAAATTGTGACCTCTAGAAAGTCCCCAACCTTGACATGTCATACTTTTACGCTATTTGAGTACGAGAGGCGGCCATTTAGTCTGTCAGTTTTGGTCCGATTTTTACGAAATTCGAACTCAACCATCGTTAGGGTGTAACGGTGATATACTCAAACGTTTTTTTTTTAAATCGGATGAAAATTATGACCTCTATTCAAAAATTGAATATAAATCACTTTGCATACATTCATATTTCATTAATATGTGCTTTTAGAAACATTTTTGTCATACGCCCTTTTAACGTAATATAATAATTGATATCAGCGCGGTGTCCCAAAAGGTTTTATGGGACGGAAAAGTCAGGTTCGTGTACACACTAATATGCACATAAAGACCCTTGGCAGATGGAATTCGAGTAGACCGTTGCACCGCTGTCCGGACAAAATTTGGGAACAGTTTTCATGAGCAAATCCTGTGTGTGATGTTAAAAGGCATACAGTCATTCAATGCTCCAGTTTCATCCGCTTCAGTAACGAGGAGTCCCGAAAAACTCACTTAATAAACTGATTTCAAATGTTCTAAATTTAAACTCGTTAGTCTATAATTAAAGGAATTACGGTTCCCGACAAATTGATTAAAGATCGATGCCCGCAAACTATAGAAAAATAGAGTATCTCTATCGTGCTAAGATATTTATGCCGAATAGCCACTTCGTGTTATATATACTACTTTCTATTTAGCATATAAACAACTATTATATTCTTAATAAACCATTAAAAATTTGGCTTCTTAAAACAGGTTGATACTTACCAGAATTACAGCTAGCTGTCTTTAATAATGTAAAGCTTTTATGTCTTATATAGGCCCACTAATAAGGAAGTTGCACTTAAAACTTTGTTTCGGTTTCGCCGAGTCATGTTTTGGTCTATTGTTATAGACTGTGGCCCCTGGCAAGTATGGGATTCTCCTGGAAATTATATGACTAACGCAGACATACACCACTAACCCACAAACAACACTTATTGTTAATGTGCAACGATGAGCAGTGATATATTCGCATTTGAGTCATCGTTGAAGCTCACTCCACTTAAATTGCGGCGATCTGTGGCGTAGTGTGCGCCAGGCTTAACGAACGTTATAAACCCAGCGTATTGAGCACGTACACATAGAAACAACAATATGGTTGTCTCAAAAAGATCAGAAGTATTGTGTTGTTGTGACCTGTAACCCATTCCATTTGATTCCATTCCACATCCAACTAAGTTCACAAACTAATCTTAAAGATAAACGATAGCTTAAAGATGACGAGGACATCAGCCAAACTATCATTCATTTTAAAGAAACAAATTCATCTTGCAAATTCTTTAAAAACTCCCGCCATACCAATCTAATCTATCAGTTAATCTCATTTTTGACATATAAAGCCAGTGGACCTGACATTATTTTCAAATATTGTGCTACGTCATTAAGCCAGTCCCTCTACAAACTGTTTAATTTCTTACAAAATATATCTGTATCTCCAGACTTATGGAAACAGACTATCGTAGTTGCAATTTTTAAGCAAGGCGACATTCATTATCCCTCGAATTGTAGACCTATATCTTTACTTGGAAAGGTCTTTGCTATTAACTAGTCATCTATTAACTGTTATATTAGATTATTTGTCGAATAGGAAAAATATGTAGTTATTAAAGGCCCACGTATTTTCCTTATTTATATCAATGATATTACTGAAAATATTAATTCTAATATATGTATATTTACAGACGATACGTCGCTGTATCTAACAATTGAAAACCCAGGCGAATGTGAAAATATATTAAATATAGATTTAAATTTTATTAAAAACTGGTCGACTAAATAAAAGTAAGATTTGCATTGGAATGTATAATTTGCATGAAGATGAATTTACATAAGCTTCGGATTGTTTTCTAATGCAATATATCAGTGTTCTAAATACTCATGTTGTACTTGAAATAAAAATATTGTTTAAACCAATTTGCATGATAAGAGGGGATTGGATCAAATTCCTTTATTATCAAATGATCAAATTTCTGTAAATGTACATTACAAGAAATGTGGTGGCCGTGAGTGATGACAAGGCAAATATGCCCTGTGCTTCAGATGGGATAAAAATCTGCCTTCCAAACATGTACGTAAAATACCGCGATGGAAACGCCTCTCCAACCTGGCACCGCACATATAACTGCTCAAATATAGCTTAAAATCGTTATCTAATAACTAACCATATACCTATGTCAAAAAAGTAGGGGATATTCAGAAACAATACAAAACTGTGGAAATGCACTGCTGTTTTATTAGAGGTAACCAGTGTATGTTAATAACAGGCCAATTGCCTACACATCAACATAAACAGTTCATATGGGCGGTTTATCTGACGACCCCATTTCACTCGCAAAGAGATACACCATCAGAAATGAAAATAGACGTTTTTGATTTTTGTCTTAATAATGAGTAATTGCTCCACCAATCCTCAGACATTCAGCAATTCGTCGTGGCATGCTCCTAATCAACCGTCCAGTCACGATTTGGGGCAATCTGACCTACTCCTCTTGCAGTGCCACGGTCAATTCTTGCAGTGTTGTCGGTTGACGTCGACGAACAATTCTCCCGATCAAATTAAACGTAACATACTAAAGGAAAGATACGCAAAACAGTAAATCTTATGCAAAAACCGATAGGAAAGCAAAGATGGATAGATAAACCCTTACTTGAAGTGTCAAATTTAACAATGAACCCCTCCCACGTGTATGGCGCTATCTGGAGCTCAGTGGTTCTGTTGGGGCGATAAGTTCTTCATCTGTGAACATACTCTCAAAGCATGTCAAATGTCCATTACTGTTTATCATATCGCAACCTTTATAGGTATTTGCATTTCAATATCCCCTACTTTTTTTTTGAAGAGTATATATAAAACAATTTATGGTATATGGTTTACCTGGTCAAATATGCTCTGGAATGGATTTCCTTGAATAAACTAAAAAATTGTTTGTATTTATAATCATATAACGTATGTCCCAGTTAAAACTTCAAATCATGAATTGCTTGTGTGCTCGAAATTTGAGACCAACTTGCGTCGACAACCTATAGAAGTCTTTGCACTTAAGAATGGGAGTAATATGTTAACGGATATTTGTGTGACTGATAAGTCTGGCGGCAGTTTTCTGTGCGCGCTGTGGGAAAGAAAACGAAAAGGAATTTAAAAAATCAAATTGTTTATTTTCAGCCTTTCTAATGTTTATCTGTTATCAATAGGCAAAGCAGTGTCGAGCTGTTTGGCCATGCCGTTGTGTTCAGCGCTCTTCATTGCAGCTATTATTCTGGGTAAGACATCTCTTCCTCTATGGTAGAGTATGTCCACAAGATTTATAGCTGCATTTAGATTTCCATCAGCCTTCTGTTTTCTTTCTACTTGATCTTTATCGTCATCGATGATACGAAAAGTAATAAACTGACCCAGAATCTTGGGGAGGTCAGCTTTGAAATCATCGACCAGTTGCATATAATTGTCTGTCCATATTGCGGAATGTGGAGCAATCATTCGCCCTTTGTGTACCGCCAATGAAATAAGACAAGAAAATGAAGGTTAAAGATACATTATTGTATGATTTAGATAAAGAGCTGACAGCTCTTGCTATAATAGTTAAAGCATAGACAATGAAACGTGAATATGTTGAAAATTTCAGTCAAATTACCTCAAGTTATGGCCGTTTGAAGAATATTTCCCTAGACTTTGAAGTGTTATAAACCAATTAGGCTCAAAACACTCCCACGAGCTAACTTTACATCGCTTCGCTGGAAATGAAATGGGGTTTAACGTCCTACTGTTCTGCTCCGAATTGGGTTAATGAAGACGGGTATACGCCATACAGTGCTATGAGGGAAATTTTGCCCGGACAGTGGCACTACGGCCTACTCATATATCGAATTCCAACTGTCAATGTCAAGGGGTCTTTTACGTGCACGCCAATTTGTACACGGGATCTCAGTTTTTCGTCCCATCCAAACGACTAGACAGCTGCCCTTGTCAGGCCCTCCGTCCTGCATCACTGACAAGCGGGAACCTCGCGGGAAAATCTGGATGAACTTTCTCGGCCAGTGCAGGGATCGAACACCCGACCTCCGGGCTATCGTCTTACTCACTTAGCCACCGTGCCCCCCCCTCCCCGCGCTTTGCTGGAACTGCATGTCACGGAACACTGACAAATCGATAGGGTTCATACAGTGACGCTATGGCCACGCGTGGTTGTATTAAATAATTGAAAGGGATATTCTGATTTCTGGGGAATTATGTGTGGTCATAGAATACGTGTCAATATATAAAATAATTGAAAGGGGTCTTCTTAGTTCTGGGGAATTGTGCATAACGGAATGCAAAAATATTTTTTTGAAAATAATTACTAACTATTGTCATATTGTATGTCACAGTGAAAGCGTATTTCTGGAGAATGCTCTATTTGTTACCGCTTGGATATACGGTGTTTCAGACTGGTTGGCATTATGAAATTTGTTCTAGTTTGCCTAATGATGATGGTATTTACTAATATACCACTACTTGTTACTGAACTTATTATAGATTCAAATATTAAGATAGACATCAATAAAACGATAGTTCGATAGATAATAAGGCCCCCCGCCCACTCCCCGAGGCAGCTAAAAACATAGAAAATATTACAGTCCATAGTAAACTGTCAAAAACCACCCAACTCTCAATTATGCCGATAGATTTTAAAATTCGTGGAATAAACGAAGCCTTACCCTGGATGGTGGAATCATCCATTATCCTGGACGGTACAATCAGTTTTTTCTAATGTTAACTGAGTCATTTCTTTATCACACTGAAAGATGAGAACAGATTTTCAACTTTGGAATTCATTTAGCCTTTGAATTTATAATTTTATATCCGAAATTGGTGGATTTTCTCTAAATTGACCTAGATTATTGACAATCTACTCATCATGTTATCAATTTAGCCCATTGGGGTTTTACAATATTGACTACTGGACAGAGCAGAACCAAATATAATCAGAGTATAATACAGATCCTGTTACGTTTTTATGGTTTAAATTTCGTTTTACGTGATGGTCCGGTACGAGATAAGAGGCCTTGTATGGCGCCGAAGATCCGCATATTGTTATTTTTATTATGCTGACATTTTCGACCATAAACAGGTCAAGATGATGAGGGTGGGGGTTGGCGCCGAATTTTTGTTTGGTCTCGTGTCTGTTTTTTTTTTTAGAACCCCCTCGTCCCTGCCGTGGGAAATGAAAGAATTTTTATGATTATGGCGAATGTCCATTCCGTCTGTTATATATACTACTTTCTGTTGTCTTATAAACAACTATTATACTCTTAATAAGTTATTAGGGATTCGGCTTCTTAAAAAGGTTGATATAGTCACCATAATTACAGCTGTCTGTCTTTAGCAACTGACTTATTTCTACCGACTAACAAGTTTATATGCCCGTGTTATACAGGCCCACTATTGGAAGATATTTTTAAAAGTTTGTTTCTTTTTCCCTGATATTGTATGGGTAGGGGCGTATTAGCATATCTGAGTCATAAGTTTATATGCCCGTGTTATACAGGCCCACTATAGGAAGATATATTTAAAAGTTTGTTTCTTTTTCCCTGATTTTGTATAGGTAGAGGCGTAATAGCATATCTGAGTCATGTCTTGGTCTGACCCATACAACATTTATTGTTAACACCTGGCGCGTGGTGACGCTGATTTTACACCAGGAACAAGATCCCTTTTTCAGAAAATGCAATTATTACTAATACTTAAAATATTAGAAAATATAATCTATTTATTTAAAGTAATACGATATTGACATCAACCCATTAGTCATATAATGTGATTTAACTGAAAGGTAATATATGCAATATAAATAATGAATAGCTACATTTAAGTTAAACTAACTGTATATATTTATTTTTAAGCTTTGCGCCGAGCTGAATAATCTATATGATTTATTGTAATTAAAACGTGAATGGGCGGTTAACAGTGTGTAATTAATAACTAAAATTGGAACTTTGTAAAAATAATTATTTTAATTTATTTATGGTGGCATACGGTTGCACAAACCTCCAAGCTCTGAAATCAATGGCGCAAGAATATCGACCTGTGACCCCTGCCGAAATACCTCCCAGGTTACACACAGAGATTCAAAGACATAATATGAACTAATTGCAATACTCAGTAGTGGGAGATTATAATTTAATGTGTAACATTGTGATTATAATCAAGACAATAAATCACATTCTACACAACAATTAACAAGCCATGGCAAGAAATCCCTCCTATTGCCATCATTTTAATTTTCCCTTAGAATTTTCTACACCAAGTCTATTGCATCTATATCATGGTTTAGAGATCCCCAGTATCCTCTATACCGGTAGTTATCACGGGTTCAGTTTTCTATGTTATTCATTTCACGACAAGTTCTTGCAATTGCGACAGTAGTACAGTTTTTCATAAGCAAAGCACACTAGGGGACCGAGGGTCGATGAACATGGCCTCGCGAGAGGTTCCCACTCTATATCTGACCCGGTAGGATTCTCTCCTTGGTTTTGACAAACTGGCCGTAAATAACATTTTCTGCAATTTGTGTGTGACCCTAAAAACCTTATTTTACAAGGATTATCCACAAGAACAAACATTGCCATTCTGGTTTCTATTTTGATTCTCGTTTAGAATTTACACCGTCTACGCTATTTAAAATAGTTTTTTTAGGGTAGAAATTGAATCCAGCGACCCCTAAACCTATGTATTACAAGCCATATCCAACGGGGGAAAAAATGACGATTAATTAAGATTTCAACATTTTGGATTTCATTTTTCCGTCCATTTTGAATTTCTGTCATTATGAATTCTCGAAATTCATTTTTGAGATCAGAATTAAACCCAGCAAACCCAATTCACATATAAGAGACCAACGGAAGAAAATGACGACTAATTAAAATTCATTTTTGGGGCAATTTTGAATTTCTGTCATCACGGATTCTCGAAATTCAGCACTGAAACCGGCGACATCTTAAACCATGTAAATGATATGTTACAAGTCATATCCAGCAGGAACAAATGACGATTGACTTAAAATCCGCCATGGTGTTTTGCTGAAATTTTAGATTTCGAAAATTATCTTTGATTCAGAGACATCCATACCATATAAAAGACATAATAAAAGTCATATCTTACGAGATTATCGCTGATCATATGGGGAATATGACATTCTAATTCCAAATTTGGCAGCCATTTTGAAAGAAAGACCGAACGTTTTAATATTAGTTGTTAGTAGATTAGGACACCAGATAACGGGTCAGTAAGTTCTTCAAGTCTCGAGAGAGAGAGAGAGAGAGAGAGAGAGAGAGATGGGGTTTAACGTCCACTCGACACAAACTAGGTCATTTCGGGACTAACATGGTTTATTTTATTTACATAATTCGCTTGCGCGTAGGGGTCTTTAGCAGTGGGAGGAAAAATTTCAAAGTGTAACCGGAAGTAAACAAAATCGAAATTCGAAAAACGGCTCCATTAAAATTGATGCGATTTGGAGTAGGTTCAAAACAATACAAAGTTTACCAAAGGATTTTTTTTTTTAGTAAAATCCAATCTGGAGGCCAAACGGTTGAAATTGATATCGATTCTAAACGTAATACAGTGAACTTCCGAATTTCGAAAAACCGTCAGCGAGAGCCCGTATGGGATTTTTCCGAAGAATCCAAAAATGAGACCCGACGACTATCCGTTGAGAAATAACCGAGATATGGGTAATCTGAGATAATTTCTTGTCTCATCTATAAAATATTTCCTATATGTCAAAAATTACCGAATTTATACGTAATAAATAATTCCACGGAGATCAACAATATGTACGCTTGTAGAATGCTTGCACTATGCACAGTTTTGGTAGCAACTTCTGACTAAAATCAGCAAAAAATTAATAATAAAAATCATTTCGAAAATAATGAAAAAATATCCTTTAATTTAAATAGCTGTTATAAAATGTTATTTGATTTAATAATAAAATAAATTTTAATTCACACACTTCAAATATGTGAAAGAAAGCATCACAACAACTGAATGCACAAAGAATTGGAAGATATCTGAACAGGCTTGGCGAACTTACCATTTATTATTCATTTATATTATCAAATTTTAATTACCATTTCTTACCATTTAGCCTTTGAATTTATAATTTTCTCTGAAATTGGCGGATTTTCTATGAACTGACCTAGATTCTTGACAATCTGCTCATCATGTCACCAATTCAGCCAATGTATTTTACAATATTGACTACTGGGCAGCACAGAACACAAAGTAAAACACAGATCCTTTTACGTTTTTATGGTATGTATCACTACAGTTACTGACATCTTCCAAAATAAAATTAGTCAAAATGATATCCCTTGGGTAGAGGGTTGGCTCTGGTCTGGGGTGCAGCGACACCGTTTTTTGGTTGTTCTTGTATAATAAATATGTTTTATAAGTCACACCTCGTCTATGCAGTGGGATATATTTGGTGGCTGTTAGCGGCCATTCTACATTCTCGACTTGTCTGGTTGTGAAGGCGATAAGTCGTGGCACGACAAGTCTAAATAATTGTTTTTTGTCGACGTATTGTGAAGGCGACAAATCGACAAATTCAACCCGACAACGCGACAAAATAAGCCAACAATCGTCGCCTTCATTTTGTCGTCTTTGTCGGGTCAATTGTTGACTTGTCGCCTTCGACTTATTCACAACCCGACAAGTCGACAAAATACAATTATTTCGTGTTGTCGTGCCGCGACTTGTCGCCTTCTCAACCTGACAAGTCGACAAAATACAATTATTTCGACTTGTCATGCAGCGACTCGTCGCTACCGACGTCAATCAGTGCACATAAGCAAGCATTCTTCGATTAAGTATGGAAGCCTATTGCGGCCATTTCATAATCTCGATGAGAAGTCATAAGACGAGGGAGCTAGAGGTGCGAGAACGCGAGGGAACACAATTATTGCGACTTGTACCGCTACAAAATACAAGAGTCAGTGCGCATGAGCATGCATTCTTCCGTTAAGTATGGAACCTATTGCTGTAAGGGTTGTGACCCTTGATCTTTTTGATAGGGAGAGGCCTATTTATTTTCCACAATTGCCAGGGTTATTGCCCTTGATGACTTTGAAAATCGTATGGTTACCATAGGGACGAAAGTTATCACCCGATTGACTGTAAATTTATATACTTTGTTTAAAGTCTTCAGAAGAAATTCTGTAGATTTTCAGCGGTTTTCGATGACTTGAAAGGCTTATACAGTGTTTAAGTCAAAGAATCCTATTAGGTTTTAACGACTGCCGATAACAGTTAGATTCTTATGATTTCTTAATCAGTTTTTATTTGTCTTGTAAATTCTTTCATTACCGACAAAAAAACAAGTGTCGACCCTTGTAGAGTGCGCAGACAAATTAGTTCTTGTGGGCACATGTTTCCTGGGCTGGGAACCAATCTTTTTAAAAAACGTTTATAGAGATGTCGTTCTGTTGTTCAAACGATTGACAAAACGGAAATTATTTAGCATTTTTGTTTTTGCTTGCCACACCTGAAATTAACACAGATAGGATTGAGAAGAACGTTTGGTTAAATTTGAAGCTACAGATCCATATAGTTGTTTTAAATATTTCAGAATAGGGTCAGTTTTAGGGTCACTAGTTACGTGTTGACCTTTAACATCACACTTAGATCCTGTACGCTTTGTGTCTTACAGTCAATACATGTCATGAAGAACTCTTTAGACATAATTTCGTTTATAATACTTTACTCGTTTCTATTGAGTTGTTTAGCAGAAGTAACCCATGACAACAATATGTTGAGACGACTACGTAACAGAATAGGACGATTCAATGTTATTAAAATGACACAATGACAATTTTAATTTTATTACCAACCCTTTCACAATATTTGAATGAAATATCTCACACAGGGTGTTAATCTGTTTTCAGTTTCTATTCCAATTCAATAAAACATTTAAAACATTTAATACATGTCTTGGCTTGATTCATTATTTACAATTTAATACGTTAATCGTGTATTTTAAATAATACAGTTCAAGAGATCAAAACATTTCCGAATTTATACATTCAACATTACACGTAGACCTAAATGTATTTTTCAAATACGTGTATAAACATTTATATGAAATATATTATAAACAGATATGCTATGACCAGCGTTGCCATTATCTTTATTATTCGACTGGAAAACTCCTGTCATTCACTCTGTCGTTCGACTGATCCATCATTCACGTTGTCATTTCCGAGTCTGAAATTTGGGGTATAGGGGTAGCTCATACCGGGGAGTAACATAGGCCAGGTGGCGTTAGTCTACCACTTCCGGTTTCGGAGTTATGACCCCCGAGCGAAGCCGGGCATTCTTCTAGTATATAAATAAATATATAAATAAATCATCTTCATGGTATCATCATCGTCATCATCATCGTCATCATCACTATTTAACACCAATCATCGTCGCCTGACAATTACCTTATCTATTCAAAGCGCTTGTTTAGTTTTAAATACTTGTGAACTTTACTAAAACTCACTTTGTTGAACGGATTACTTTCGTTGGTATCGCCATATAGGAACGCTTTTGTATTTATGGATTTAAATGGGAGGGTATTTAATGTTGAGATAAGCTGAGACGAATAATTTGGGCAGTGCAGAAAATAATGGTCGCTGTCTTCTTGAGTATGACCACAACTGCATGTCGGGTTATGTGAAATATGCATTAAAAATCTATGGAAGTTTAGAGCACTTTTACAATTACGAAGTCTGGAATGTATAATCTGAAATTTACGTTCTCCATAGTAACATCTTACTGACATCAATAAATACAAAAATATAAAATGGCTGATTTGTCAGATAAAAGTCATTTCACTCTTTGATATGATTTATAATATGTAATTTAAAGGATTTTCAGTGTCACTAAACTTAAAATTAATCTAAATATAACGGGGTTCCAAAATCCAAGATGGCGGAAATTCAAAATGGCGGCCAGAATTTCCCTAAAATGGTCGATTTTTCGGATAATCGTCATTTTTAAGTTTGATATGGCGAGTGATATGCGATTTAAAGGGTTTTCTGTGTCACTCAACAACCTCAAAAGAAGAGTTTCCAAAATCCAAAATGGCGACCAGAATTTCCTAAAATGAACGATTTTTCAGATAATCGTCATTTTTTCGGTTTTGTATGGCTTGTAATAATGTCTTTTATTAGGTTTTCAAAGTCCACGAACTTGAAAATAACCTCAAAAATGAATTTTGAAAATGAATATTACCTCAAAAATGAATTTTGAAAATGAATATTACATCAAAAAGGAATTTTGAAGATGGTAGATGATTGCTTAAAAATACAACAGGACAATCGTGAATTTTCCTATGGGATTGGCTTGTAATAGCAAAGAGTAGTAGTTATTTTGATGGTAACTGGAACTGTTATACTGGATCTCACATAAACAAGATTTAATATTATTCCAGCAAAACAGTGAGGTATATATATCCAGTTGTTAAGAATTTATCTATTGTTTATTCAGAAATGGTTCGAAATAGTGGTTCAGTGAGTAAGACTCGCTAAGAACGAGATCTGGGGTTCGATCCCTATGTTTGCTGAAAAAGTACCTTAGGATTTTCCAGTGTGGTTTCTCCTTGTCAGGATGCAGCACCGGGGGCTTCTCGAGAAACCAGGTTTATATGTACACGTTGACGTGCGCATACAAGAACCCTAGACAATTGGAATTCGAAATAAGAGTACACCATAGTACCACTGTCTGGGCCAATTTTCCTCATAGCACACTGCTTGACGAATATCAATATTTATTAACTTTTGTTCAGAAGACTTATGTCCGGAAACCGTTTGTGGTATCATCTAGACAGATGAATTTATATTTGTCAGTCATGTATTTCATAAAGTGAAAAGTGTAAAATGAATCATCGAAGTCTCTGTGTCCGCAACTTGTGTGGTATGGTATCCACAGATCATATTCGTCTGTAATGTAATGCACACCAAGTTCTAAGTTAAAAATAATCATCACGAAAATAATTGGAAATGCATTTACGACTAGGTATCCCAAAATTCATCCCCCACGATTTCCTCTTTTCTTATGTGTTGTTCTTACATGTAGAACTTGTTGTGAAATACGTAACTGACGAAAATGACCTGTGGATACAACATCTAGACTATACCACAAAAGTTACTGGACACGGAGTCTTCGATGCAAAAACGGACCACATTACCATTTCTGAACGAATAGGAGAACTTAAATTCTTAACGACTGGATATACCACAAATGATTCTCACTCCGGTAAAATGGTGCAAAGACAAAGGAGATGAAATTAAAAATGCGTCAGTTGGCCCCGTTGTATTGTTATGGGGGTTTTATGCATAAAAACAATTAAGCTACATTTATTGTGTCTTAAGGTTAAATTCTTTGAAATTCTAATTAGCTGACTGGTTAGTTCTGCACATGGTTTATTTATTGACAGGTAGATTCCTGGGTCAGGTCAAATTAAGTTGCCCTTAAAAAAGTATTACAATTTGCTATTATAAACCAATCCAAGAGAAAGATTGATGATTGTCCCTTTTTTTTCTGAAACAATCATCTTCAATTATCAAATTCAGAGAGAAAGAGAGAGAAATGGGGTTTAACGTCCACTCGGCACAAACTAGGTCATTTCGGGACTAACATATGGTTTAATTTTATTTACATAATTGGCTTGTGCGTAGGGGTCTTTAGCAGTGGGAGGAAACCAGAGGACCCGGAGAAAACCCACGAGGTTGGACAGGCGACCCTACTCCTTGCCACGTACAACCGGGGATTCAAAATCACGCCAGTCGACTCAATGACAGACTTTATGATACAGCACGCGCATGCCAACCATTCAGCCATCCACCCCCCCTATCAAATTCAGTGACTCTGAAAACTTAATAGAGGACATATTACAAGCCATATCAAAACAGAAAATTGACGATTATCTTAAAAATTGATCAATTTAGAGAAAATCTGGCCGCCATTTTTTTAATTTCCGCCATCTTGGATTTTGGAAACTCTATTTTAGATTGATTTTAAGTTCAATGACATTGAAAACCCTTTAAATTACGTGTTACAAACCATATCAAAGAGTGAAATGACTTTTATCTGACAAATCGGCCATTTTAGATAAATTTTGGTTGACATTTTGAATTTCCGCCATCTTGGATTTTGAAAACTCTTTTTTTCTTTAGATTAAGGTAGATTCCTGGGTCAGATCAAATTCAGTTGCCCTAAAAAAACTATTACAATTTGCTATTATAAACCAATCCAATAGAAAGATTGGTGATTGTCCCTTTTTTTTCTGAAACAATCATCTACAATTATCAAATTCAGTGACTCTGAAAACTTAATAGAGGACATATTACAAGCCATATCAAACAGAAAATTGACGATTATCTTAAAAATTGACCAATTTAGAGAAAATCTGGCCGCCATTTTTTAATTTCCGCCATCTTGGATTTTGGAAACTCTATTTTAGATTGATTTTAAGTTCAATGACATTCAAAACCCTTTAAATTACGTATTACAAACCATATCAAAGAGTGAAATGACTTTTATCTGACAAATCGGCCATTTTAGATAAATTTTGGTCGACATTTTGAATTTCCGCCATCTTGGATTTTGAAAACTCTTTTTTTCTTTAGATTAATTTTAAGTTCAGTTACAGTGAAAACCCTTTAGATTACATATTACAAACCAAATCAAACTGTGAAATGACTTTAATCTG